CTCTGTTGCAGTAATACTAAATTGCTGCCATAGACCTGTATCAGTTTCACAGTTTTATGTAACTGATTGCAAAAAGGAGCATGAAGCTGGCTACATTCAGATTTCAAGATACATTTCTATTTACAGCTATAAAAATATAGACACGTACTATTTAAATTGTAAGGAAGATAATTTTCATTAAGGGCTGAATTTTTTAGCAATTTGATGTTTGAACAGTTAAGTAAAGGAAAAGTTTGCCTTGACATGGAAAGTATGTTTTTGGGGTTGCAGATACAAATTTTTATTTTGTGCAACCTGAAACATTTGGTTTGGCCAGTTTTCTGATGCTATCTTAGTTTTGTTTCGATCAAAGCAACACTTGTGGAAAGGAGACACTAAAGAGAATTTGAGCACAAGACACAGTTCTGTTCCCTGAGATTATTTATGCATCCTTAATCCTTTATTTTATAGCTTGTTATTAACTCAGCTTATGCTCTTTCTGTTTCATTAAAGCAGAGAATAATTTGCAGTGACACTGGTAACATCTGGTATCTATAAATCTATTAGTTATGTTGACATCCAGTTAAATAAGTGAATATAGGTCTGTCTGGAAAAACATCACTAAGGAGTTTAACTCAGGTTCACTGATATGAAAGGCAGCTTCTAACTAAAAAATCCCTGTGGAATCTGTGTTTTGTCTTGTAGTTTCCCACTGTGAGGTATCATAAAGAATCTACAAGACAATACTGCACAAACACAGCTCTGCAGAGTTCTTTAAAATATTTATTGGTTTGTTCCTACTAAAATGATGAAAATCCCCATCAGAAAATGACCTTACGCCTGTCAGTTTTGAGTACTCCGCACTTCTTAGAATCACATTTAAGAAAGTGCAGCACCATATTGCAAAAGTTAGATTTCACCAGCACAGTGCATGGCAAACACCTTCAGAAAGTGTGCTTGCTGTTCTTTTAAAACAGAGTTCTGAGTGCTTCAGAACCTGCAAAACTTCAAATAGAAGTGTTACCCATGACAGTCATCCTTAAAACACACTAGTCCTTTTAATGAAAGTTATAAGAAAAAAATACCTATTTCCTTTTTTATTGCAGTAAAATAAGATCTGATAATAGCAGTTCACTTTAGCAGTTCAGGTGCTTCATTTTAAGCACCCATCTATACCCTACATAATAAGCTTTCAGGTCTAAAATCTAACAGGATTTCACATGTATTGAATTGGCAAATCCCAATAAAAAACCTCTATATTCCTTTCCTATTACAAGGCTTTCTTTGTAGGAAAAATATGAGATGTCCTTTTCCAAAACAACGGATTTAAATAAATGTAAGTATTTTTCTTCAGATTTGCTCTGTTTGTACACTTAATACCTTTTCTTGATTCCAACATCAATAAATAGTAAACATAAACATTTACAGCTCTTGGCATGCACGTAGTGAGAAATCCAGCTCATACTTTCATTTGTGAAATGATTATTTCTGCCAAATCTGGTTTTAACATGAAAGAAAGACAATTTATAGCTTTGAGGGTGCAAGATAATACTGTTATTATAGTAAAGTATGGCTATGGGTCTAGATTGACATTGTAAATAGTAATGGAAAAATGCAGGACAAATCAGTTAAGTAGCCAGAGCACAGAGAGATTGGTCCCAGGGTTTTACAGCCACCAGCAGGGCTCTGAACTAGTGTCCTTGACAGGAATTAGGATTTTCCTGTTGTACTTTGTATTACATTAAAATGTACTTCTCAAATTGCATCTCAACTGAATTATAAGAAGGCAGTTTGTATTGGACTTGGGGTACTTCAAGATGATTGTTACAGTTTGAAAGACTTGAAATTATTTCGGTGACATCACTGTTCTTTGGGTTTAAACTAGTGAAGACCACTACCAGTGGTATTGAGTTTTAACACAGCACACTGTGTTTTAAGGACAATAATATAACTTCAAGAGCTTTTGCTACAGGTGCATTATGTATTTGTGCATTTTCAACACAGCTGAAGTAAGAGTCAGTGAACATAAGACCTGTTCTTTGAACATCCAAAAGCAGCTTTTCATGGGATATTCATTGCCAGCTACAAGCACTGAAAAATTCTGAAGCTATTAACTGACTGCAAAAACAAAATCCTTACATTCATCAACCATTTCTCTCCTTGTAACCACTACCAAGGAATAGCATTTTACTCTTTCAGCTTGACTTCCTTCTGGTTAGGATGGACTGCCTTTTACAGGAAGATAAACATGAAGCACAAATTGTTGAAACTACATTTTCAATTTATGTTATAAGAATAAACCCAAATGTATTCTGTATGCCAGGTGATCTGCCTGTACATGTACTATCACCCTGATTTGTGTGGTGCGCCACTTTGTCAAAACCATTTGCTTGCAGTGAAATTTTAAATATCCTGCAACAAAGTAATTAAGTTTTATATAAGTGTATCACAAGAATTTCACTCCCTCACTTGAAACCCTTAATAACCTGTACTAATTTAGTCCAGAAAAATCTTGTTCAAGCCTTTTACCACTGCTGCTACAAAATGTTCTCAATATTTCAGTAGGGGATCAGAATTTATTTTTTGTAGGTTCCCAAAAACTTCCTTTTCTAGGCTACACTTCATAGTGGGAAAAATACAGAAAAGAGCAAATATTTGAGGTAAAATATTAACCATTTAAAGATTGTAAGGAACATTCAAGTAGAATGAGTGTTCTCCTTAGAAATAAAAAGTAGTCTTGGGAAAGATCAGTATCTAGAGATTTCTGTCCTTGCCAGGGGCTCCTTCAGCCAGTCATACTTTACTTAGTAAATAGCAACCTTCAGGAAACAAAGTGAAATATTCCCTGGTAGCCAGAGCATCAGCAGAGTGCATTGATTATAGATGTGTGATAATGTATTTCTGCAAATGTAGAAGGCCACTACAGTTTTTACTAAAGTTTAAAGAAGTCAGGGAAGGAACCACGGAAGTGCCATTAGCAGCATTTGTAATCCATTTTGCCATGGAAACTGCTGCACTGTGGAATCCCAGTTTCCTGTGAGCACAGGTTTCTAAGAAAAGCCAAGTAGACAGCTGCTAGAAGGCTATCAGAGATCACAGCAATTCATAGTGCTGGTGATAGGAGGGTGGTTAGCTCCCACATCCTCTTCCCTCTTTATCAGCAAATCATGGCCCACTGTTAACATGTTGCTTTTTCATGAGAAGTGATTACTGAAATTTTCTTACCAAAATGCTGAGAGATTAATTCAGAATGTGTTAAAAAAAACCAAAACCATGCATTTTTTCAATAACATCCCTTACTTCAGTAGCTTGTGCAACTTTGTTTACCTCTTGAAATATATCCTTGAAGATTAAGTATGTACACTTAGCATGTGGCAGCTGCCAAATCATGGGAGATGTTTCCCACTAAAACTGTCACTGCATTAATGACAGTACCTTGGAAAATGAATTCTTAAAAATGATGTTGTGTTTTGTGCTTCCTCTGAATAGGAAGTAGTGTAATTACTCATCCTATAAGGAACACTACAATAAAACACACCAAAGGCAATTACTAGTTAAAATTAACTGGACTTCACTGAGTGAATCACAGAACCTTCTTTTTATGGCCCTGTCCTACAAAGTGATATGCCTAAACTTCTGGTAATAGGCAGGTAAGAAAAGTCACCTTGCCTGAGATGCCACCCATTCTAAGCTCATAAATAACCCATCAATTCCATAAGTGTATGGAAATATCTGGTATAGACAGCTATTTGAGAGACGTTACAGGTAACAGCATATTGTACAAAAATTGTTTCAGCAAAAGGCTTCACATGCAAGAAGGGAAAAAGTGAAGTCAGGATTCTGCTAGAAGAATATGACTACCTATAAAACCAAGTAGTTGAAGTACGGTTATTTGATGAAACACTGCTGAGAAGAAATGCTGAAATAAAATTCAAGCATGCTTATGAGCAGAAAATGTACATGCAGCTGTGGAAGACATGATGATCTACAGAGAAAGGGAGACGTAGCAATTATAGACCTTCTCCAGCTGAGCTCTGACTTCTAGGAAGGCACAGATGTGCTGGGGTAGAGATTCATTTCTGGGGGACAACTGGCTTGGGGAGGGAGATTCAGTAATTTGGGTAGAGCAGGGACTTCAGTGACAATGAGAGTAAGGCTGCTCATCTTCCAGCAAGCACTGGAGCTCCACAACTCTGAACAGCCCGAGGTTTTCTACAGAAGTGGCACACGCCTTCCTCCCTGGCCAGTCCCTGCAGCAGTTCTCTCTTCCAGTCTGAGAACTATTGCATGAGTGGTACTCAGGCTGAACTGAGGGACAGAAAGATGAAATCTATCCAGGCAGAGCTGAGGGAATGGAGGAAAGATGCCCTTGTTGCTTTAATAAAACCAGGGGGAGAGTTATTTTCTGTACAATATTGTGTGATTGCAGCATAATTTTGCTTTCAGCTCTCACTGTTTCATGGTGACAAAAACACGTTCAGAGAGGGTGGTTTTGTTTGGTACATGAGTGTTTCATGATAGGTGAGTACAAACAAGTGGACTGAAACATGAACATTCAACAGAAATGTGAACAAGATAGAAAAAAGAAGGATCATTAAAATGTCGATTTTACAGGAAAGGAGTTAAATTGAGGTGGGAAGCTTAACCTGGACATCAAGAAAATCTTCCCTACTAACATGCAAATAGGAGAGTGGTCATCCAATGGAAATCCCAAAAGCATAGAGCCTTCTTATTTTCCAGTGTAGACTGTTTGAGTAATATGAAAATTATTCTGCATGTAAAGGGGATAAATGAAAGGTCTTGTGCTTGGTGATGCTGGGGTTTTTTTTATTTGGTTTGGGCTTTTTTTAAAACTTTCAACATTAGTCATTCAAAGCCAAGTGAGCTTTTAGCTGAACACTCACTATAAGTCCCTCCAGTTTTATATCAAGAATAGATTATTAGAGAAACAAATTATTATGAAATACTGATTTATTATCTTTCATAGCCAATCCTAATACTTTTTTTCTTTACTATTTCAGGGTGCAAGTTGAATTCTATATGAATGAAAACACATTTAAAGAGAGACTAAAGCTCTTCTTCATCAAAAACCAAAGATCAAGTAAGCAGTTGTATTAATTTATCTTAAGCATATTTGTGATACTTTTAAGTAAAATCAAATTCAGTTGAAGGCAACAGTGAAGTTATTAATTTTCTTCTGAGTTAAATATTTTAAACTTGAAAATCATGTGCTCATGCAGGATCAAACAATTAGTGATGTCACGAACTGTTAAATAAAATCATGATTTTATTTCTGTGTCGTGATCAAGTTGACTAATTTGCAATAATCTGGCAGCAATGCTCATTGATAAGTCGTGACCTTGTGACTAGGAAAGCAAAGGAGGGTAAAGGAAGAAAGCTGCAAAACTACCCAGCTTTTTGAAGTGTTAAGTATTCCTAAAGTTTCAAACTTTATCTGCACTGAAAAAAAAAATTTGGAAAGGAGACTATTGGGGATGTGGTACTTCAGAATGTAGTCCTTGTCATTAGCCTATAGTCTAACTTAATTTATAGTCTCAACACTGTAGTCTAACCTAAATAGATCTTCATTGAAATATGTGCTTAACATCATCGGCCATCATGGAAGAAAATGTGGAGGAATTACGATATTAATCTTTTTAAATGTATCCATGCAGCTGATCCAGGTGGGTGGAAACATGGAATATTATCCAATCTTGGTTAGAACAGTGGAGCTCATAGGTCAGAAGATCAGTAACTGTCCTCAGTTTTCTTCTGTGTAGCAGGACTGAAGTTATTTCTCTTTGCCTTTCACATGTAAATAACTGAAATTACAATGGCTTTATACATAAAGCTTTTAGCCTACAAAGAATGAATTTTTTTCTTTGTACAGTTAAAATTGTTTCATGATTTTGTGTCTGGAAAAAGACAGAAAAAAATAAAAGAAAGAAATTTTTTGATGTCCCAGTCTGAAAATATACAAGCAACACTGGGGAGACTAGATCAATCTTTCAAAAATAAGACAGAGCAAAAAATCTGTTAAGAGCTAGCAATAAATAAATAAATACTAGTTTTATATCACAGAACTTGATAATTTTATTGGCTAAGCTGCTTTTACTTTCCAAGCATAGGAAGAAAAATATTCCTCTAAAAGGAAAGAAAAAAGAAAAAAAAGGCACCATGAGTAACAAGAAAAACCCCCAAGCCAGAGCAGTCAGTATTAATGAGTTCAAACACTCCTTGTGCTTATGCAGATCTTGGTTCTTTGTCCAAATACTCGGAACCAGAGTCTCCCCCAAGAAAGCCTCCAAAGAGCAGCTGCTGACACTGTAGCCTGCCTCTCTCTGTTACGTGCACTCATTCAGTCCTGCACTGAAACAGGAGGAGTCTCTTGCCCAGAGGTACCAGGGAGCTGATAAACAAAGATAATAGATTTTAGACAGTGTTCAGTGAGAGCACTAAAAACCTTCCTTCACGTATTAAAGATGGACTTGCTGTCATTGAGAAAAAAAATTGTCAGTAGGATCAGAAATTTTTTTGGACAGTGTAGCTAAATCAAACCTGTTCACCAAACAGTTTTGATAATATCAATTTTGATAATATGGTTTTGCCAACCAGAGCAGTCAGGTCTAGAATTTATAAGCATTTTCTACAGAATGCTGTCCTGATCTAAATCACATATGGGCTAGTAACTTGAAATATCAACTGTTTTATTAATTATTACCCTTGTTTAAACTGATAAACTGATAAAACAAGCCTTAATCTGTGTCTCATGTCAATCTAGTTTCCACTCAATTTCTGCAAGCAAATGTCTAATCAAATTCAAACAGTGTATAAAAAAATATCTTACAAAGGTGTCACTCAGCACCCTCACAAAAAAAATTAAAAAAAAGAGAGAAGGAGAAAATGACATGGTCATACAAGCATGACTTCATGACTTGCTTGTAACTTGCCAGGACCACACACTGCATTATCACAGGCAGCAATAAGTCCAAAGGGGAAAAGATAAGTGAAGTTTCAAGTCAGGGAAGAGGGAATAAAGGATAACTATCACTAGGATATGAACTATTAAGAGCATATTTTGGTCCAGCTCCTAAAGCCAGCTGCCACTGAAATAATTCTGCTGAAAATCAGCAATAGATTAGTGACTTATGGGAAAGGAATAATGGGAAGTAATTCTAAAATCCTCACCTGGTATCCGTCACTCTGTTTAGACCAACTCTCTAAACCTCACATTTAATCTACGGAAATGCTGGCAAGGAGCGCATGAAGAATTTATAATAAAAGTGAAATTCCCAGTCAGAAGTGGTAAAACAGAATGTATCATTCTATACTTAAAACGCTTGCAAAAATAGCAAATACTTGTTTAAAGTGAGAAGGAAATGACATAGATAAATGACATGAGATTTGACATAGTTATATTTAGTTAACCAAACAAATAGATTTTGAATGTTATTATCAATTCTTTTCAATAAAACAAGAGTATGTAAGAACTTTGTTGCACAGACACAGTGAAATTGCATTCCCATTAAAAAATATATAACTGCATAACAGCACATGATGGGTGGAGCTGAACACAAGCTCATATTCAAAACATAGAGATATTCTGTGCCAATGACCCTGCCACTTAAGCAATCTGGCTCTGAATGGAGAAAAGGAAATTAAGTCAAGCAGACGATGTTGATCCATTGACAGCATGTGAAATACAGAACAAAAATAGACAGGAAGCAAACAAATATGAAATGCTTTCTTTGTACCCGAATAATAATCGAAAACCTGTTTTAAATGCCTTCTGTAGTGTTTGTGCACCTCCTTCTCACATTTGAAATCCTACATCTCCATGATAGTGGAACACATGCATTGCTTCCAACTCACATGAGAATCCCCAGCTATGAGGCTGCAGAATCTTTCCACCAGAGGAAAAAGGCGTTTTTTAGGCCTGCATTACTTACCCAAATTTTAGCAAGGGTGGCTGAATATGTCACTAATGGCTGAGGCACACAGAGCAAGGAGAGGTGACCCAGGGTGGACTTGAAGCCTGTTTCTCCTATTTATATTTTAGTAACTGACCCAATCACCTACGCTACAGAACCTGTACTTTGCATTGCTTTATAAACAGCCCTAGCCACAAAATGCACTCTCTACTGAAACCCTTAGATGAAAGCATGGCTGATTTGAAAACCCTGCCTCCCATTCTGTGGGAAACAGGCTATGGAGATAGCCAGAGCCTGAGTTCCAGAGGTGTCAGAACTAAGATTTGAGAGTTAAGGGTTTAAGGCAGCAGGCTGAACCCCCAGTCTGTATTGATGTAGCTTTCAATCAGAAAAGAACCATTTTCTTTTGGCACTTAAATCAACATATAATTTCAAAGGATGATTGGAAACCAAGCCGTTATCAATGCAGAAAACAAGTATTTCACACCAACAGTAAGATTTAGAGAGCTAAAAAGCAGGAGAAAAACAACGGACTTCTGTACTTGCCCAAGAGAGTTAGACAATATAAAATTGGTAGGTTTTTTTTGTTTGTTTAGGTTTAGGGGCTTTTTTAAAACATTATCTGCTTTCCTAGGTGTAATAGCCCAGCAACCAATAGGGCAATCATTCATATTCCAGCAGAATTCTACAAAAGGCCTAGGACAAACAAATAATTCATGTTTTCTTCAGCAACAGCTCACAAAAATGGCCAAGTCAAATAATAGGATACCATGCTTGCTTCCTTCAGTCCTTCCCCCCCTTCAGGCATGTTGGGGAATAAATAGTCAGTGGCTAATTACTCTTGATAGGGGAGCAGGAATCCTTAGGTTAATGTTCTCAAACCCAATTGCCAGTAACAGCTGTGGGACTTCTCACAGACCACAGGATTTTAACCCTTAGTTCACTGAAACAAGGTGCTGTAAAAGTCCATCCAGTTCTTATGTGATAACTGCAACTTCACAGTTAAAAGTAATAAGCAGTTTTATGTAACAAACCTAAAGATTTCACTCAGAAATGGCATGGTAAAATTCTTAAGAATCAATTTTCTATTTTTCTGTGTATGTAGTAGATGGAGCTTTAACGGAAAATTAACTAGTAGACATAAAACCTGATTTATCAGTTTTATCTGGTTTTGCTGATTGTGAACTTAGGACTGAGTAAAGTTAAAAAAAAAAGTAATATTACTATAAAATGATTGTGATTCTCTCCTTAGAAGGGAATGTATGCACACAGCTTTGGGTATGCATTATTTGGGTAGTTCTTAAACCACAGAAGTATTTACATTGAGTTCAGCAGACCTGCTGAAGTATTTTCAACACAGCTATAAAGCACAGTGTCCTTGTTGTGACTGAGGCAAGGGAAGTCACATCTGGGTAAGATTCAGAGTATTCTGCTTTGGGTAGAAGGGCTCAGCCACGCAGAACTGGACTCTCAGTTTGCAAGACTTAAAAAAAAATATTGGTTCAGTGACCTCCAGTCACCTAACGTTAGTCAACCGTTTTAAATTGATTAGTAAATGAATGCTTATGTCTAAGAGTCAGATGAAAATATTCACACTAGCAAAAAAGTCTGCTGAATTCAATAGCAGTACTAAAAATTTAAACCTTAATCCTCTAATGGCTGCAAAATCACGTAAAAATCCCAAAAGTTCCCTTTCAGTAGATAACGGCTGCAATTGGCAGTGAAATAAATTGCCTGTGTGATAGCAGTAAGTGTCCATGTGGATCCCTTTGAAGGAATCCTGGCCTTGTGCATTAAACCTATATTTGTGGGGGAGAGTGTAATATTCTCTGATAGTATTTGTGGCCTGTCTGTTCATCTAGAATATGTACATGGTCCGTAGAACAAATTCAGTTCAGTTGTGCATTCAGCATAACTTTTAGATGTCCTGATTCTTGAATGCATAGTTATTCAACTTCAGCATTAAATAACTCCAGTTTAATATTTTAAAAGTTGGAATAGAGTTATATATTCTGTATGTGAAGCTACTGCATGAAGAAATTTTTATATTAATATTTAAATGCTTGCCACTGCATATCTCCTGCCTGTGGCTGAAAGTATGTCTTTTCATGTTGCTGTATCCTGTATCTCAAAAAGCATTGTGTAGTTCTGGTTCCCCTCCCAAGAAAGCAAACATTTCAAACTACTAAGGATGCAGGAAATGGCATCAGTGAAGGATTAACAGCATAGAATAGCTTTTTAAAAAGTGACTGCATAGTTCTTTACATTAAAACAGGCTGAGTTATATAGACTGGTTATATAGACATTGCTTTTTACTACAAGACTATTCTAGTTCCTTTTATTTTTACCTTGAAGGTTGGTGAAATTTTAAAACCACTGAACTTCTTTTGTCTTTCCTTTCCTTTCCTTTCCTTTTTTCTTTATTTCTTTTTCTTTTCTCTCTAGGTCTGAGAATACGATTATTCAACTTCTCTCTCAAGCTCCTAAGCTGTTTCCTATACATAGTTCGTGTGCTCCTGGATGATCCTACACAAGGACTTGGATGGTAATGTTTGAGGTTTTTTTTCCTCATTTCTGCTCTCAAAGCATTATTTAAGTTATAAGAAATAAATCATTAAACACATGAAGGATTTGTTTTACGTCTTCTGGATATTTTGAAAGAATTACAAAGCTGCTCTTACATTGTGAATGGAAATAAGAACTAAAATAATATTATTTTTTCTCTTTACCACTAAAATAATCCTGGCTGTCTCCTTAGATACTGTGCATCAGATATAATTGTGCAAACACATATTTTAGATGTGTTATTACATGACATTTCTATGTAAAATTGCAAATGTCTGATTCCCAGTTTATGCAACAATTATTTTCGGATTTTGCTTAAATTACTTAAAACCCCAGATCCCAGAAATGGACAGACAAATATGTGAAACTGAGCTTTCATGCAGATTATACCGATGATAATTTTTCAGCCTTCTGCTTTCTCAAAACACTTCAGAAGAGTGAGACCAAAGGCACATTCTATACTCACAATGATTTATGGCTATAATGAATGGTGTAGCACACCCCAAATTGCCAGTGTGGTATTCTATATCTTCTATATCATCATTTTTTAAGTGTTACACGATTAATCACCAAATTGTAGAAGAAATTGTAATTTATTTAATCCTGTACTTCTGTTATATTTATATCCTGGGAATATTGAATCTCCTCAATTTTTAATGCTGATAAGCGTCACATTTTATTAACATACTTCCTTTCACTTGCTTTGATTTTTTTGTCTTTAAATGCTGAAAGAAACAAAGCACATAAGAAAATACTCAGCTTAGGATGATAGAACCGGCAGTCTTCACACAATTTTAGGCAAGGGACAGAGTTTGATTTCTAATTTTCATATTTGGATGTCAGTTATATGTAGTAAGGGTAACACCAAAAAAAGCTAGTGCATTGGAGAAATACTCTGTAAGAATGAAATCCAAAGGAAAGAGAGGGTAAGAATATTTGCTTTATTCAGCAGTGTATGAGAGAACGATATGTGAATAGGAAGTACAGAAGATACATTTGAGATTTTTTTTGGTCAAAATTTATTGTGAGAAATTGTAAGTTCTGACAAAGGGCCGTGAAGAAATTTCCCTGAAAAACAAGACCTATAAAAAACTACTTTTGACCTAACATAGACCTTAGATTGTCTCTTCAATAAGAGGAAACAAGCAGTGAAGTTTTTACAAAAAGTTGTGGAGAAGAGGAAATCCATCCTTAGAAATTTAGGCATATTAGCAACTCAGGGACTGAGCATTTTCTGTCTAATCATGGTTTCTGGCATGATGCAATTCTTTCATTGTGAGATCTCTGGTGAGCCCAGATGAGTGTGTTGTACTGCATGGTTCTGTCTGGGTGTGCAGGACAGGTTAGAACATCAGACCTTGTGCCAAATATACTTTTGTATTTATGTGCCAAGATGCATATTCATATACATCTGCAGACTGCTGAATGCCTCACACTTCTCCTGGCGTGTCCTTCAATCCAAGTGTTTTACAATTCACCAGAGAGTGTATTTATATTTTCTATACATGTTATTCCCCTACATGGTGTTGTGGTACATCTAAGAGACTAGTTGGTGTGTTCTGTCTCTGAATAATATTTGTCTGCCTGAGAAGATTCAGGTAAGTCCTGCCTGCTTACTAAGGCCCTAATCTTAGAAGCTGTGCCTGACAAATCAATGGCACCCCATCAATGCCCTAGAGATCCTGAGGGCTTGATACCAAAACTCTTGCTTGAATGCATTCTTAAAGATGTGGTGATAGGAAAAAAAAATTAAAATTCTAGGTACTGTGTCATAGCCTGGTGAAAGAAACTCAGCGTGCTGAGAGTGTGGCCACGGAAAATGTTTTCACCTGGTTGGTTTTAAAGTAACAAATCTGGGAGGAATTCTTTTCATCAGATTTATTTCCAGTTTTTCAGAAATGCCTGCACATGTTGGTGTCTTTCATTTACTCCATCAGGCACAGTGGGTATACAGGAAAGAGCTTAAGACATAAAGCATCCTTATTCATGGGTACAGTTCAGCACTGTCCCACTCAGAGCTGGTGCATATACTGTTGCTAATCTGTGGGCTGCAGATCCCTTTATTTTCTGCTGACCTTGCTTGCCAAGGATGAGGAACAATATTTGTCATCATTTACAAATGATATATTCCCACATCCTTATATGATCACGTAAAAGGAAGATTTGTGCCAGCAATTAAAGGCAAGATAACATAATGTGTATAATGGCCAATATTTTTACTTGGGTATCACCAGCTGTGTACTTGAAGTACTACTGCATGCGTCTCCAGCCCTCCTCACGTCCTCAAAAGAGGTTAAGCAAGTGTGGTTTGCTGCAGTCTTTCCTGTTGAGAATGTGCTCTTTGTATCACAGCTTGCCCTTGGGACAGGATTTCTAGGGTCTCTTGATCTTTAGTATATATTATGTACTTAGTTCGTCTTTACAAAGTATCATTTCAGTTGTCTTGTTCTTAAATTTGAAAAGAAATCTTCAAAAAATGTAACCTGGAATGCTTCACACTCCTTTGTCTACAGATATGGAACACATACAGCAGTACTTTCTAAAAGTTACTTTACTTTTAAAAAATGTCTGTATGGATTGCCTTGGGTTTCAAACTATTGTATGCATTTCATAGACCACTTAATGATGTAATTAATATCCCTTTCCTCCCATATGTTTTTATGACTGTGTTCCCATACACATTTGCTAATGGAAATGGACTTTGCATGGATGGTATGGCAACTGTCAGTAAGGAATTAAACCGGAGTTGTTCCCATCAAAACTACACGCCTGGAACAATTGATTGGTGAGTTCCTAAGTTAAAACAGCAACCCAAAAGTCCACAGAATGGTGGGAAGGGAACACAGGAAGACGAATCCATTTCCATCTGGAATGGTGGCATTTTAACATATAGTAGGGATGTTTCTATAAATCTCTAGTCATTACTTACATTTCTGAATGTTCAAATTGCATTTAATATTTTAATTATTTTTCTTGATTGCAAAGTGAACTGCTGGACTGAATGCTGGTGTGAGATCTGGGTTCCATCAATGCCGATACTTTGCAGAAATAAAAAAGGATACCCTTAATTAAAAAAAACCAAATAATTCTGAGTAGCAGTAAATGATTAACAGGAAATTATTGTGCCACTGAGAGTGTCCCATTCCAGTGGTGTTGTATCAAGTGCCTATTAGCATTGATAGGATTCTTCCAAGATACCACAGCCCCTAAGAGTTAGATATGATTTATGTCATTATATAGATAGCAAAGTGTTCACACAAAAGGATTGACAGTTTCCCACAGGAAGCTAATGATTTGCTGTGGATTAGAAATACAAGTCATGTCAATACTCAGTAGGTAACTACTGATTTAAAGGTTTTATTACTGAGAGGTTTTTTTTTCAATAAGTCTGCTCTAATTTCCATTCACATGTACAACTTTTTTTTTTTTGTCTGAAACACCAGATTATTATTAATTTCATATTTGTTTCCTTACTGTAATGAACAGGTCTCCCATTATTTGGGTGAATCGAAGTTTACCTTTATGGGGATTACAGGTAATATGTAAATGACAAATTCCATTATTTCCATGTAACAACTGCAGATGATATTGATTTACAGAATTGTAGCAGTTAAAGGATATTGGAAATGTTGATGTCAGCAAGGAAATCTTGAACACCAAGTACAGCAAAAGCATAAAGATCAGCTGATCTGTACTGATTCTCTCTGTGAAATGTGGTTTTTCACTAAGAAAAAACTTACTTAAGCTTCCAGATAGGTTATACCATTATATTCTCTTACCATGATTGGTGCAATGCCAATGCAATGATTGTACCTCCTTATAATACACAATTTCCTAGGGGAAGAAGCCCTTGAAAATACTGTAGAATATGCACAGTTTGAATAAATTTTTAATGAGTGTTCAGATTACTTTATTAAATTTAATTTTAAAATACTGAGATATCTATCTATGCTTGCTGTCCTTTTCTAATATGCCTGTTTGGTAAGGCCAGGAATTTATTTGAAAATAAAGCCCGAGTTTATGTAAAACTAATACAGAGAAGCTGTATTTTGATTGCCTATTTAATAATTCTGTATATTTTAATTATTTCCAAAATCATAGCATCTTTTTTTTTTAAATTCTAGATAAAGACACTGTGCACCCTTCAGAGTTTGCAGCTGTAGGCAGCATTAATTTAAAATTTAAAATCCTGAGGCTTGACCTCAGGCTCCAGCCTGATAGTATCCATCCTGGTGGAATATTCCCATGATACACATTAAAATACAAATACCTTCTGTGCAAAGAACATCAGTAAATTCTTAATGTCTATAAAGACTTAAGTATTTTCTTTCACTATTTTGATATTTGACTATTTAAATATTTTAAACTATTTAATACTAACTAACTATATAATCTAATTGGAGGCTGGTAAATCGTGCTCAGCTGCATTTAAATCTTAAAATCAATACTTATTCATCTGTAGCATTTTTTTTTATGCTTTCTGCATTATACACAGTAAGAAAAACATTTGCTATTCCACACATTCATAACATCTTCACAAGAAAGTAAAGAGCTGACTGAGGTTGCTTATTTACAGCTTCTTTCTCTCATGTGGGAAGATTTTGGTACTGTTTAGGAATAAATGAAACTCAGAAAAATAACAATATCTAAGCTTCAAGCAAAATGCTCTTAGCTGAGAGAGTTTCAGAGGAAGAGCTGTTTTATATAATCTTTTATTTTCATTGTAATTTTAATATCTATTCTCCAGAAGCTGGTATTAATACACATAATTTTTTCACTTCACTTAAGGTGTCTGTGGCTGTAATAAGTCTCTTTGAAACTCTGTTGCTAAGTTATCTAAGCTACAAGGTAAGTACTCTTTGTTACTTTTAGGCAAATTAATTAAAAAATCATGAGTTAAATATTTCAATATAAAGTTTATGTACCTGTGCCCATGCTGGTGTACAAGCAGGGAGTTGTGCAAAGCACACTTTTCCAGGATGGCATATTGTCACACAGGCAGCCCTGTTTCCCAAATTTATGAGCAAACTCTAATATCTAGAGTGGAAGTCAGCAATTAAATGCTCATTATCTTCCGTTGTAATTTGAAAACACATTCTCAAAAGTGACCTTGACTTTTTGACACTGATTTTAAGTTGTGCAGTTTTATTTGTCTGTCTGTAATTACTTGACACAGTTGTCATTGATTTTAAAGCTGTAGCTACTCAATACATATAATTCAAGGTTTAGCCTTCTAAAATTGTGCCCAGAAAAAACAAAGACAGTCCTTAAAAAAAAACCAAAACAAACAAACAAACAAAAACCAAAACAAAACCAAAAAACAAACAAAAAAAACCTTGTGTTATTCATCTCTATGATGCTATTGGAATATCTTTTCAAAGTGTCTTGAAGTCGTTTGATATGAATGCAATGTATTTTTGTATTTGCATTCTCCTTTAAAAGTTAATTTTCTCTAATATAATCATTCAGTTTTCTTCATTCCATTTTGTTCTGCTCTATCTCTGTATTTTTAGTATCTTTAGGAGAGAAATACTGAAAGCATTTGAAATCATTTACCAATGAAAATATGAAAATATTTGGTTTCTAAAGTGGAAAATATCTTGGGGGATAATATTTTTTTTGTGTTATATTTTGTATTACTGACACTCAGTAGCTATCAGAGCCACTGCTGCATTTAGAGACTTGTATTTCAATGTGCTTACCGAGTGATTATGGCATAAATGTTTTCCTTAGTGCCCAATAATGCTAAGAGGCTTGCAGCTGTCTGCTGTCTAAAAACTATTCTTCTTAATCCTTGAAGCATCTATTATCTGAGGGTTGGGGGTTACAAGTGCAAATCAGTTATGGGTAGACATAGTCCAAAATTTATATCCTGGTGGCAAAACAGTAAAAAGCAATCACAGTTTGTGCTGTTCCTGAGTTTATTGGGCAGCATTTTATCCTCATCCATTCTGCTTGTGATTTGTATCAGTTTCAGGGGGTACAAAATATGAATTCTTGGCAAATCAGCTTCTATGAGAAGTTACTCATCAGTGTGTGATGGATGGGAAGTTCCACTACCCTGATTTGCTGCATACACCTGTCACAGAATTGAGGCAGTTTTGTGATTTCACTCCCCTTAAGAGAAAGAAGTAAAGGATTAATCTGAGGAGCAACAAAATTTGTTAATCACATCAATCCACTCGATGCAAACACCTCCTTTCCTCTAGTCCTGTTCTCATAGTTTTACACCATTCTCTTGAAGCTAAGAATGGTGTTATTTCACCTACTGTAAGGCTTTTCTGCACAGCCACGGTGACCAAAGGTGCCTTGGTTCATGTAAATCTGTGACAGATTACTTATTTTATGGAAACATTTTCAAAGCTTTCACAATTTAGGTAACTAACTTCTACAAGTCAGAGAATTAGCAAGCGAGAAAACAAGAAAAAGATGATTGTGTTTGCATTGGAGTGCACATTACTAGGATTTCACAAATAACCTGTAAAGTGAATAAAGCAGTCATTTGAGAGGATACTCTGAGAGATTGACCTTTCTGATACCTGGTCCATGACATATGAGAAATGATTCAACATGCAGAGTACTGACTGCAGAGTAGCATATCACGTTACTGTGCTACAGTGAATTTGCATTTTTTATAGCTTTTAAATGAAGAGGAATGCAAAGGATGTAGCGCCGTGTTGTGATGCTGATCACTTGGATCCAGGAGTGGAAGGTTTACAGTCTGCATTCTCCCAGCCTAAAATATTACAGGAGGGTTTGTCCTTGGCCAGAATTTTGAAAGATGTCTGCATCAAAAACCTCCATTATCAAAAGTTACCACAGACATCTGGCAATCCTGCATATGCCTGGTGCTCAGGTACTCTCAGGGCTTTGAGCAGCACCATACATTGTCACTGCAAAAGGCAGTTTTGCAGAAATCATGATGCATTTATGCATTTCCGTGTGGAAGCCAGAGTCCTACAGCTGCACACATCCCTAATTACCTGGAGCCCATCCATACTGGCACTTTGCCTGCACAAGTAAATTATGTGACATTTCTTCTCTGTAATGCAGAGGAGGAAACTCCTAACGTTAAAAATGAGGAAATTTTTGAAATCACAAAATGGTTCCATATGAAAAATCAGATTGGATTTTGATTTTACTCTTCATACAAAACCCTCTCAGTTTACAGCCTCGTGATTTCACTTTTATGTCTGACTCCAACCAATTGCAATTACATGGAAGACATAATCCCTGTCCCTGAGGTATAGTAGCTTCCAGATGTGTTAAAAATGGAGAAAGAATTATATATGGCATGGAGGTTGTATTTAATTTTTAGTGGCTGTATCAGGTGGATATTTTTCAGGGAAGACGAACATGTCATTGCAACTGAAACTATAATGCTCTACTGCAAATTCTTGTAATACTGCCATGGTATGTGCTGCACTATTATTGCATTACCTATGATGGAGTTCTGCTACACAGCATTAGTAAAGCTGTAAGTCACTGAAGTTCAACTACCTTCCTTTTCTAATATGCGGATTTTCATCTCAACATTTAATCAGTCACAGCCACTGTGCAGATTTGGAAAAATAGTAGAATTATCCCCTTCCTGTTGGTAGCAGTAAGCAAATTAAAAGATCAATGCCACTTCACTGAAATATGTGGGAAGACCTCTCATTTCATGGAAGCAAGATCAAGTTCCAAAAAGCCCTAAAGTGTTCTGAAGTGTTGGTGGCAGAAACAGAGAACTTGATACTGTAGTCCTAATTCAAATGTTAAACACTCGATTTGTTCCTTACTTCCCTCTCCAAAACAGTTGGGAAAGAAAAAATACAAAGTAAACATAAATGATAAATGCAAAGGATGAAAGGAAGGAGATTTAAAACCATATATGTTTTACTTGGGAAGTTCCTACATTATGATAGGGTGTAGGAAAAAGGATCCAGAGTGATCTATATTCCATATTCACATTTGTCACATGAGTTTAAATCTGAGATGAATGATATTCCTGCATTTCAGGTGTGGGAGACTCCCTCTGTTTCATTGGGACATCGCATGTATTTCTCGTCATAAATTTGTTTGTAAGCTGACTGTGACATTGTGGGGTTTTTTTCCTTTTCTTTGAAGGGAAATATCTGGGAGCAAATTCTGAGAATACCCTTTCTCCTGGAAATAATTAATGCTGTCCCTTTCATCATCACGGTAAACATGTTTGAATTAATACATTTGCACATTGCACTTCTATAGCTGCACAAATACTCTTGACTTTTTTAAAATGAATTTTATTCTAATGTGGATGATGAGTTTGTGCCTATGGGAACAGAAATTTGCCAACAATAAGAAGATAGTTTGCTGCTGGAGTGAAGTTGTACAGATAACTTTCCATTCCTCTTCCATGGGCACAATCAAAGCCAAAACCATCTAACTCCAACTACAGCACAATCAATAAAATAAACCAGATGGTTGTAGAAATGTAAGAATCACTCATGTCTGCAGTGAAAACTGACTGTGTTCCTATTTTATCTAATTATCCTGCATGTGGTTAATCACAAAGGAAGACAAAAATGTTATTTAAAGCCAAATCTCACGCTAGAAACACATTAATAGTAAGTATTTTCCCCAAGTGTTTCACTGCTGCTTGAATAGTAAAGCTCTATTCCTCATCAGAAAAGCTTCTAATGAATTTGTTAATTCTTCTTGCAGATTTTCTGGCCAGTCCTAAGAAACCTGTTTATTCCTGTATTTTTAAATTGCTGGCTGGCAAAGCATGCTTTAGAAAATATGATTGTAAGTATGCAAAGGAAATAAATATTCTAGAGTTGTGGGTGTTTTTGTATGTTGTCTTTAGTGGGATTTTGGCAGTACAGTCTAACCCTAATAGGAAGCTAACCAGATCTGTATTTAGATTATCCAAATGGTCAAGCATTACTAAACTGCTTTCTGCATCAGAATTAGAAAAAAGTAAGATGTGAACTGAAATCTCAATTAGTATAAATTGTTACTGTGCCAATAAAGGAAATGGCAGTGGATGGTTCTTTTGCTACTCTGCCATTCATACACAATTGCAGGGAACTCAACTGTTTGGCCATAATTGGGCCTTGCAGCCTGTAATTTGTAAGCTAGACATGAGCAGACCTCAAGGCAGCTTGCAATAGGATCAGAATTGTGCTGGGATGAAAAAGAACTACTTAAATAATCACAGAATCACAGCTGGGCCTTCTGCACCTTCTATATTATCAGAAAACTTATAAGTGCATTTGGGTGACTGCGTTGCTGTCAGGATACTGCATAATTCCTCTACAGAATCAGATCCTGACTTATTGGTTCAAACCCAAAAATAACACCTATTTTCCATTACTACAGAATGATCTTCACCGAGCCATCCAACGCACACAGTCTGCAATGTTTAACCAAGTCCTCATTTTAATATCTACCTTATTATGTCTCATCTTCACTTGGTAAGTGGCCAAATCCCCTCTGTTTTTATTATACATGTTGGCTTGCCTGGTGGAAACCATGCAGTGAAATAAGAAGGGTGAAACACTTCAGTGAAAATGTTAACTAGCACCTGTACTGCTGGGGTGTGGATGCACTGGGTTTGGAGACAGAATGTGCATGCATGGGAAAAGGAATCCTTCTCTCTCTGAGGAAGGAAATACAGATGATGCCAAAACACAGGATAAAGCAGGGGGAACTTTACATATGTACAAACCTCAGCAGAGAAGTCACTCACATGTGAAGAGTAGCAACAGAAGTATATTGACCCACACCAAGGTCACCTTCCTCTGTCTGCTGGGCTAGAGAAGAATGTGCAATACCTCAGCCTTAAGACTTTGACTGAGTCAGTTTCCCCTAAGTATTACAGGGGATAGCTGTTATTAATCCAGATTACACACAGTGTAGAATGTATTAATCTAGAGTACTGATGGTACTGGATGGTAGGTTCAAACAACCAAAAATGTTGAAGAATGTTTTGCTGCAAGACCTGAGAAACTTGAATTTACATCCACAGGAAACACCACTCAATTGCCCCATGTTTACATTGTGCCAGAGTGATATGGTGTTAGCCCAGGCTGGAGGCAGATGAAGGAGACTACGCTACGTGTCTGACTATACAGTAGCTCTGTAGCTTACTTAACATACAGAACTTTCTCATCAGTGGTGCCTGAGAATTGAGCATCATACTCAGGGAGAATTCAGGGCTAGGTACAGTGTGATACAAGCTGGTGTACTAGAGGACAGTGAAAAGACAAGATGGTTCTGTGTGGAAAGGTTAAATCACCTGTATTTGTTTTGCCAGACAAAATGCCTTTAGGTCAGCACATTGATAAAGTTTGGTGTGTCATTTTGGAGACAGTAATTAGATTTTCTCTTATTTTATTTCTCTAGCTTGCTTTTCTGATAGTCACTGTTATGTGCTGCCTAACCCTTTTGGTATTAAGTGTAACATAGCACATGGCTTTTTAGAGGAGAAGTTTGCTCTAGCCAGGCTAATTGAATGGTCCAATTTTGCCCTTTGTCTTAGGGCCACACACCTGCTTATTAACAAATGCTGCCTGTTCCAGTAATGAATTTTTGTGGTATTTAATCTCCTGTTGAACATTATGTAATTTTATATGCATAAGGACTTGGACAATTTTAATTTTGCTTTTTAGTTTTTTACAATACAAGGTGCTATTGAGTATTCCTTCACCTTTTTACCTACCTACTTAATATTTTACTGAAATGCTGCACAAGTTATGTATCCTGCTCACCAGCAGGCATCGTGGTAACTGACAGTAAAACATGCAGGAAATGGCAAGCTCACCTGTAATTACGGCTGGGCTCAACAGCTCCAAATAGTACTTCATTATAGTTCATGATTTACTGACCTAGGACTGACCCTGCTAGACTTGGAAAATAAGCTAGGTGAGATGAAGACACCCAGTAACGCAGGAACAAAGGAAACAAAGCACTTTTTGACTGAGAATAGTAGTTCAAACATCTGCAGCTTCTCTAAGACTGGGGTTATGGAGTTATGTTCAAGTGATTGTTACTCCTGTCTATGTGGACACACATAATGGCATTTTACACATTTTTTCTTTATACTACTGATTATATATTTAACATACCCCCCAAAAACCTCTATAAACAGTCCAAATCAATTACCTTAGTGTCTTTGTTTATGTTCCATCTGTTGTGAATTTGAGAGAGCGTTTAATTTTATGGACATAATTTAGAGCTTATGCGAGTTCTTTCCTGCTGAAGGAGGACCCAAGTCCACAGCTGGAATCTGTCCACTTAGGAGTGCCTTTCACCAGACTGATCTTTCATGTTTTCTGCAAAGGCAGGCAGTGCCCAGGTTAGTACCCCCAAACACGTTTGGGAGCCAGCAGTGGCACAACACACAAAGCTTCTCATTCATCACCAGTCTGTTCTCATAAGCATTCTTTGGTTCCATTTAGAAACACTGCCCTGCTCCATGTCATGCCAAGGCTTCAGTAAAGCAAAATGACTAAGCCTGGATTAGTAGCTTGAGTACAGTGCCTTCAGTTGCAGTCCCCTTAGAGGGTGAGAGACATGCTCATGGTGTGCTTTTGGGACCACTGATACCTGCCCTCATCGAGCCTCCCTGATGACACTCAGGCCCTGGGTGGATTCAGTTGAAACCCCACAGCCCCCTTAGCTCCTGCTTGCCAGGCTTATGCCATCTGCTGCAAGAGCAACATCAGCACTTGTGAAGCCAATACAGCTTTATAACACAGGGTTTTCTGTTCAAAGCCACCTTTTTTTGGCAGACACATAGATGGAATGGAGCTTTTTATGGGAATTACATGATTTTATAAGATGGTATGAAGCCCAGAAAGATTCCTCATTGGCTTTGTTCCTGTCTGCATATAATAAGAATTTTCAAAATAACTTTACCCTAACTAGCAGGAAACCCACAGAAAATGAATTTCACCTCGTGCATCATTTGTAAAGCCATCATTTACATCTCCACGTCAGAATTTTATAAGTGGTGGTTACACAGATAGGCACATGCCAGTTTATGTCTTACAACTCAGGTGGAAGCTTTCCAATGAAAAGTAAAAAAATAAGTTATCTGAGGTTGCAACTGATTGGCTAACCTCACAGGTTTTAGATACCATTGTTCAGGCTGTCCTTTCACTCAGAGTATAGTAGATAAAAGCTTCTTCTGTGTTTTTGTATAGAGCTGACAATTTTCAATGTTATTACAGAAGAAACAGTAATCACAACAAAATTTGTTCTCTACTCCACTCTTTGGTCTTTGGTGATAATTGTTAATGGACGTAGGGGTGGAACTCATTTGCAGGTCAGTAAATTTACAAGACCATTTTCACATATCTGTAATTTATAGATTACATACTAGGTTTTTTTTTCCTCTTACTTCCTGACTTCAAAGATAGATTAGGCTGTCCAGTGATTTTTCTTTCTTTAAACATCTCAGTGGCCTTGTAACCAGAGCAATTTTACATCTACTAAAACATGTGTGCTCCAATATGACAGACTGTTCAGCAGTTCCTACTGAGAGTTCTAGTGAGAGTTACAGACCTAGTCATAATATGTGTTGTGTCATTAAGCTAATGGATGTTTGCACTTGTTTGTCAAATGGAATACTAATTATTTCTGTAAACTGTACAAGAAGACAAATAACAGTGAATGAGTATTTCAGGCATCTTTTTGTGACACAGTGAATCATCTATTAAAAGTTATTTTAAATTTTAAAGCAGTATTAGTCATATATCACCAGTGTAGAGTGATTAGCTTGTGAAGGAGATGGCTACAAATTCTTTGAGATGGACAGTTATTTTTTCATACTCAAACCTGCGCCAACTTTGCTTATGCTTTCATGGAAAGCTCACTGAGGTCAGTCTTAGCATTTTTTTTACACTTCAGTGCTTTCAGCATCAGAAAATAAGGATTTTTTCACAAAATAACTTACAGAATACCTGTAGAATGCCACTACTGTATCCTCGATGGCAATTACCCACTCACAGTTCTCATCCAGAGGGAGCAGTAGGAGTAAGTTGCTTGAAAGGATGAAGACAAATCCCAACAATGATCTAGTCCAAACAAGACAAGTAATGACCTCATGATTTGGAACAATGTGTCCAAATTCCAAATGTGTCCAGAGAAGAAAAACCACTCAACCAGGAAAGGATTAATCACAGAAGTTTTTAGAGAGGAAAAGGTATCAGTGTTCCAGTTCCCTTTATTATCAATAAGTAGATATGGGCACCTCAGAAAGTGATCTGAAGGGAGCTAAATCACCCCATGGAGGTCTTGACTTTACCTTCCTGTGTTGATTGTGACTGGAGCCTAATGGCAGTTATTCAAGAAAGATGCCCAGCCTTAGTAGGATGAAAAGTGTTGGTCCATTATGTAATGTAAAATAAAATGTGGATTTTTGGGTCTGTAGTTCTTTCTGTGATGTTATGTATTGTTGTACATCAGTCTCAGTGTTCAGGACCAGTCTCAGTTTGATTGAGAGAGATTTTCTGCATATCAGGACAGCTCAAGATAAGACTGTGATTCTGCCTTTCAGAATTCAATTATTCTAAAGTATTAAAACATGTGAAGTTTCAGGAGCTAACAGACTAAACAAGAGTTTCAGAATTTAAATCCCAGAATGTTATAAAGCATTAATTGAAAGTTCTAAGTAACTGTAAATAATACAAAATGAATTATTCAGCTATTACAAGAATCCCACAAAGCACTGAAGTAATATCAGTGGTACTTTTCTTTCTCTGAAACAAAGCAGATCTGTCAGGAACCTGCATGTTTCAAACACAGGATCTCTGTTTTCTGTTTTGAAGTATTCCTGTGCAGCGCTCTCCAAACATCAGCAAGCAGATCTAGAAGTAGGGCAGTGGCACATGCAGTACCTTCCACATCCATTGGAGCAATCCCACCCTCCCCCTGCCCTGCTGCTCAGTTTCTGGAACCAGGGCAGCATGGATGGGTGCTTTTCTCTGTGCATGTGTGCAATGAAAATTGAGGTCGAGTTCAGACACTGCTTTAACACTTCCTTAAGTGAGGGGATGATGAAAAGGCTGTGCAGCTCCTGGGAGGTCAACAGCAAAGCATTTCCTAAAATACCCACTTGTTATTTGAGAGCAAATAATCTACAAAATCAACTAAAGTTTATGTGAAATATTTCCTTCTGGGAAAAACTGTGTGCATGAACTCAAGGCCAACATTATTGTGAGCTTTGGTAGGAGAAACACATATTGAATTCTCTCTTTGAGTTACAGAGTTTCTCTCTTTGAGGTACAGAAATTTCTAAGGTGGCTTTGCTGAAATCTGCTGTATGAGGCACATGCAAAAGCTGTGTTGCCAAAAATAGTTGCCAGTTTTGATTATTGAAATGAAACAAATTCACATAAAACTGTTACGAGTTTCTTTTGGAATTTATGGGATAGCCACACTTCTTTCACCTTTGCTAGCACTGGGATTT